TATATATATATATATATATATATATATATATATATATATATATATATATATATATATATATATATATATATATATTATATATATATATATATATATATTACGTTTTCAACGGACCGAATGTCTTGTAACGATTTAAAGGCTGAGCTTGCCATTGATTAACTGCAACTCCATCTCGTCTTGTACGTTACTTTCGTAGTTCTTTTTCTGTCATCTTGTGGATATTGAAAAAAAGGTGACAAATCGTTCGCGCTTGCGTATATATGTGCGTGTATTTATTGCCATGTAGCTAGAAATACTCAAGTTCTGTTTGGTTCTGTTCTGTTATGTCCATAGCTGTTCTTGAAGGAAACCCGGAAGCTTGCCAGCCGGAAGTACAAGCGAGAGCACTACTACTTCGACGCGAAGTGAGGGTGGATGGGCCCAGATGTGCTAGTCACACCACACCACATCATCTCGATGTTTACCTATACCACACACACTACATCAACGGAGTCTGGCTCTATCCCATCGATGGCAGTTGGTATACGCTCAACGCAGGTGAAGGCGAATGAACCTCCGGGGGCGAGTATTCTGCACTCGAGACGGATTAGAGCCGTAGTTATGTGCCGATGTCACCTTATACGTGTAAGACTAACCTATATCTCTAGTGGTAACACTACTCCTCTGCCACTCATGTCGAATGCCACCTTTACACGTGTAAGACGAGAGAATATCTACGCGTAGATTACTGGACACGTCCTGTGCCATCTGAGCATATCGCGGTGTGCGGGTACAACCATACAGCCCGTTATACGCCCACGCGATGGAGTGTGCATAGATCTGTGTGTGTGTGTTATGTAGTTTCCACATACACACACCCCAACCGGTCCCGTATCCAGGCAACCAGTCGAGACCGTTGTGGGTGCTGAGGGCGAGGCTGGGTGGCAGCAACATAGCACACCAGCTCTGTAATGGGTGTGGCTGTGAGAGATGTTCAGGTGGGGGGTGGGTTTGGAGCCATTCGTGGTTGCTAAGCAACTGGTACAGGTCTCTCCCTCACTACAGGATGGGGTGGTTGTGGTGCGACGCATCTTTGGTTGCCATGGTGATGAGCACTACTCGAGCTCAAGGCACTTGCGGCAAACGCAGTTTATTGTGGAGCCGCAGGTTTGCCTGCAGATGAATCGATAGAGAAGTCTGTGATCGGCATAGACACGCAGGGGGGGGGGTGGATAGGTGTGTGATATACACAGAGACATGCAGTGCATGGGGGGTGGATAGGTGTGTGATATAGTACACAGACACGCAGTGCATGGGGGGTGATAGGTGGAGACTACCCCTCCACTCTCATTCAAGGCGATCCGGTTCATAGAGTGTAGCGAGACCACCTGGAATGGCCTTCGGTTCAAAACTCACCCGCACACACAGTTTGAATTCACTCGCACACACAGTTTAAACTCACTCGCACACACAGTTTAAACTCACTCACACGCAGAGTTTAAACTCACTCGCAAACAGCTCTTGGATTTGCATCACGGATCGTGGACACAAGTACAATCGAGGCTACGGCCCACTGAAACGTGCATGGGTGTGGGCACACATGTATCTGTGCATAAGCTTGTCCCTTGCACACAACCAACCGTAGCTGACTGATCGATGCCATGCTCAGAAGCTTTAGTACTAGTACAACGGCGGCTACTAGAGCCTATTGGAGTATACGTACAAGCACTGACAATATCACACAAGCATCCAGTGAACTGCTCAGGGACACAAACATACCGCAGAGAAACCGCCATAGGCATTTATGTGGGTACAATTCAAGGCTGGCGCCTATCGGACCATGCAAAAATACATTTACAGTGTACAGTGTGTCGCCTGTTGGGTCACGCAGAAGACAATGCAAACATACCGCAGAGAAACCGTCATAGCCAGTTGTGTGTACAGTGTTCAGTGTATGGCCTGTTGGGTCCCGCAGAAGACAACCTTGCAGGTACAATTGAGGATAGCGCTCACTGGAACGTACAGAGCTATTCCGTCCGGTCAGACTGTTAGCAACATGGTTCACAGGGGTGCATGAAGCGTTTATACAAAGGAGTGATTGTTCTCATTACAGTCGAATATAGTATAGTATAGTATAGTATAGTATAGTATGGTAAAGTAAAGTATAGTATGCCTAGTGGGCCATAGCGAAGTATTGCCATTGGTACATAGACAGCTAAATACAGTATAGTATGGGATGCCCAGTGGGCCATATCGAAGCGATCCCATTGGTGGATTTACAGCTAGAGCCTACTATATACCAATCAAGCGCATTCACATCAGTACAATCGGGCTCACTACTCTATTGGACCATGCAGACACGAGGTGTGGTACGAGTATACGACACACCAGTTATCACGATATAAATAAAAGAGAATATATATGCATGGGTGGTTGTTATCAAGATACAAATAAAAGAGAATACATATGCATGGGTGGTCCAGGGTATGCCAGGTTATTACTAGGACTAGGGAGACTGTCGCTAAGGTTGGATAATAGACTAGGGGAGAGAGAGAGTGTGTGTGTGTGTGTGTGAGTGTTAGTGAGTTTTGTAATATGGGTACGGACCGCTATGTCCCAAGCGTGTCAGGAACTGTACAGGTTTGACTTCATAATCACCCCCTTATTTTTTTGGCCATTGTACCAAAATTAGACTATTTTAACTCCAATGTATTTTAAAATACGATAATTCGGATCAAACTTAAGAGAGAATTGGTGGGAGGTTTCTTTCGCGAATGAGACATAAATCTGCGACCAGTAGGCTTCATGACATTTGCTTTAACCCACGATACTTTATCTTCGAGATAATTACTTCTAGACACTCAGGCACCATGTGGCCAATTGTCTGTCCCCGAGTAATGAATACTTGTTGCTGTGTTGCATGTACCTTGCTTTTATCCACCTTACTATATCTTCGTAACAACAATTGTTGCTGTGTTGCATGTATTTTGTTTTTATCCACGCCACAATATCTTCATAACAACAATTGTTGCTGTGTTGCATGCATCTTGCTTTTATCGACGTTGCTATACCTTCGAGATAACAACTTCTAGGAAGCTCTGGTGTCATGTTGCCAATTGTCTGTTCCAAAGTACAGAACATTTGTTGCTGTGTAACATATATCGAGTAAACAGGACAGCGTGTAGCTATGTTATATATAGCGAAAGGACATGTCAAGCTAGAAATGAAGACAAGTGATATACCAACTAGGGCTGGTTTGTCCCACCGAATGCGACGCTGAATATAGCATCATAAACTACATATTGCTCGTATAAATGTACCTATATGTAATGCTCTTATAAATGTACCTATATATAATGCTCGTATAAATGTATCAATATATAATGTCCATATGCATAAACCGTTTAACACGATACACACAAGTCTGTTGTAAACCTGGTCCCAATCGATACTGAATACAATTGTTCTTCCCAATCTCAGAAGCCGACGAAACCAACTCTTCGCCTCCCAAAGTCCATACAGTATCTTTCCAACTGCTCACTCCCCCCCCTGGCTTGGAATTAACGTATGGTATAGGGCCACTCATGACGTGTAGGTATCATATAAAGGTACTGACAATCTCATATACACGCTATGGTTGTTGCCTAGGTACCGAATTTCTTGCAACGGCTCTTATAGTATATACCAGTTGCACGTATCACTCCTATATCGGAATGATAGCATATACCAGTGGTACGTAATACTCCTCCCAAATAATAGCATGAAGACAGTAACTACATCACAACCGCGGCAATCGCTAATTACATCCACCCTTCAGCCAGTCACCGTATCGTACAGTCTTTGTCACCTCGAACCACCTCTCACGGAGGCTTGAGATTCACATACGTCTAAAGACGTAAAACTCGGAACCCTAAAACCCTAAGACTGCTACAGACGAGCTACTACTACAGCCGGAACAGGGTATTGTCTAACAACCCTATCTTTCCTTTTGTTTAGGGAGTAATCAGCATGAAACTAAAACATACACTTCTCCTATACTTAAGACATGTATAGGAATCATTCTGCATGAAGCATACACTTCTCCTTTACTTAAAAACAGGTATATAAAACATTCTGCACGAAACAGACACTTCTCCTTTACCTATCCCATCCTCAAAAATCGCTACATCTGCCTTTCACCTCCCAATCTCCATAGCGTACCGGCTCTGGCCCCCTGGGACCGCCTATCTCGCCTGTCTTGGGGTTTACATACGTTAACGGGTTACTACTCAGTGCTTCCGTAGCGGCTAGATTGGGCTCATTAGCTTGCTTAGCTAGATCCATCTCTTCGTTCATGCGCTGTGTTTGTCCCTTGGGGATACCTTCGTCGTCGGAGAGTTCGGTATCATTCTCATCAAAGGTGAGAAGAATGTCTTCGATCATCGCATCGTCCAAACGCGCTTTGCCCTGGAAATACGGAGTACGACGAACCAAGATAAGGAAACAGAAGGATCAGAAATAATGATGTGAGACACATTTCATTTAATGGAACACATTATATACATATATATATATATATATATATATATATATATATATATATATATATATATATATATATATATATATATATATATATATATATATATATATATATATAGTATATA